TGAACTGAAGTGGACTGTGGTGAACTGAAGTGGACTTATTTGGACTGTAATGAACTGAAGTGGCTTACCTCCTGGAGTAGGAGGGACAGGAACTCGATGAGCTGGTGGGACGACAGAGTCTTCACATCTGAACTTTTAAAGCTGCTCAGGTCCTGGTCTTTGGCCTAAAGGGGGGCAGAAAATGGAGGTCTGACTCTGAACATGAAAAAAACAATAAGAACAGGTCCATGTGAGGTCCAGGTCTTACCTTGATCCACCTCTGGGCCAGAGCGATGCAGGCGTCTGCCAGGGTGGTGTCGTACCTGAAACAATAAAACCACATCAGAAACAGGTCTACAGATGGACTCTGGACCTGATGGAGGTCCGAAAGGATCCACTCACTGAGGTTTGACTGGAGGCATCCCGGGAGTGAACATCCAGGCGTTCCAGTCCACCTTGTTCAGGATGTCCACCTGAGACACAAACACAGCTCAACGTTACCAACGAATCCCCGCAGGTTCCGCTATAATCCAGCTGAGCATCCAGGTGTTTCTCACCTTGTCTTTGAAGTAGGTGAACAGGTAATTCTTCCAGTCGTCTGTAGTGACACTGCTGTAGGCAAACATCTGGATGTAGGATTTCACGAAACCCATGAACACCTCTGCAGGAGACAAACCAGCCAACAGTTAAACCAACAGTTTCAGGGTCAGACACTTTGTGATGCATCCAGGTGTGTCCAGGTGTTACCTGGTCCTCCCATCAGCTCCTCCAGGTGGTACAGCAGAGCGAAGCCTTTCTCGTAGGGCACGGAGGAGAAGGCATCGTCGGGGTCGACGTCCTGCAGGCTGGGGACCAGGTTGGTCAGAGGGTTGTTGGCTCCAAAGGTGTTCACCTGAGCGATGACAGCGACAGGTGAGACACAAACAAGCTGCTGAAAATGTAACAAAATATAAATATTAAATATACAGGTTCTCACAGAGTCCTGCAGGTCCTTCCAGCCCCCCATAGCTTTAAACTGTCTGAACTGTTCGCTGTCCATACACCTGCCGATCATCCTCTCCAGGTACACCGTGTGACCCTCGTTCAGCCTGAACACAGGAAATGAATTCATAACGAGCTTCTCTCACTCATTCATATTCTGATCCTGTATTTCTTGATTATCAATATCTGTTGATTGTTCTCATATTAAATAATAAATCAGTCTGTATTGATTACCAGAAGTGTTCCCACGTCTTATTGGTCACCAGGTTACCGGTCCAGCTGTGGGAGATCTCGTGAGCAATCACCTGCAGAACAACACGTGAACACAATGAACATATATTAACATATATTAACACATGAACAGTGACAGTTTTCTAGTGTCAGAAATAAAAGTATTTTAAACTCACGTTGGACAGAGATTTGTCTCCTGCCTGTAAACAGACAAACAGATCAGCAGACATTTTATTTAATCATAATAATCAATATAATTTTATTTGTTAATGTGTGTGTGTGTGTGAGAGAACATACCAGCAGCGTTGGTGTGGCGAAGGTCAGACAGGGGTTCTCCATCCCTCCGTAGGGGAAAGATGGAGGGAGAACCAGGATGTCGTACTGACCCCAAACATACGGTCCTGCCAGGTCCTCGGCGGTCTTCAACATGGTCTCCGTCTGACAGACAGAAATTACAGCTCAGGTGTTTGAACGCATCGCGGCAGCGGCGTCCTCTACGGGCGCTACGAGTATTTACAGACTGACCTCAGAGAACTCAAACGCCGCTTTATCCACAAACTCTTTCTCGGACCAGACTCTGGACCTCGGCCCGATCTCCCTGTCGACCAATCAGAGCACACACACTGTTTACCTGCTGCAGGTGACATGATGACATCAGCCAACAGGTGACACACTGTTACCTGCTCTCCAGAGCGCCGACCACGATGGCTATCAGGTAAGAAGGCATGGGCACCTGAGGACAAAGGTCAAAGGGATGTCAGGTAAAGAAAGAGTAGAAGAAGAGCGGGCGTCAGGTAGAGAAAGAGTAGAAGAAGAGCGGACTGACCGGCTGTCTGAATCTGTAGACGATGCGGTTGTTGTCCTGAGGATCGACTTCCTGTCCGTCTCTCATTGCGCTCATCACAGCCACCAGGTCCTTAGGCACAGACACCTGAGAGACAGAACACACACACACACCTGAGAGAGCTCAACAGGTGTGTGTGTGTGTGTGTGTGTGTGTGTGTGTGTGTGTGTGTGTGTGTGTGTGTGTTACCTGGGAGTAGTAGGTGTGTTTGATAGATGGACTGTCCTGACAGGGAATCATACTCCTGCAGTGATGAGCCTGTAAGACAACACACAGAGTTTACAGATGAACATAATTGGTTTAACTGATTTAATTTATTTAATTTCTACGTTTTCTTCTCAGCGTCAGAATACAAAACTACTTCCTGTCTGAACTGCTTTCAACAAAAGGCAAAAACCAGTAGAAGAAAACAGGAACAAAGATTTAAGTGAAGAAACGTTTGTGTAGAAACTTCTGATGAAACTACTGAAAGTTTCACAAACTTCTGTTACCACATTTCAGTCTGGACCTGGACCTGAGACAGGCCTGGACCTGGACCTGAGACAGGCCTGGACCTGGACCTGAGACAGGCCTGGACCTGGACCTGGACCTGGACCTGAGACAGACAGAGACACACCTGACACTGACTGAACAGGTAGGGTTGTTTCTTCCCAGCAGTCTGTTCAGGCGTGAGCCACTGGAGTGCCGACGCCGACGGAGACGTCTCGTAGGTCACCTCCACGATCACATGCTGCCCTCTGATTGTTCCACAACACAAACCACACGTTAACCGCGTTTTATTCTGAAAAGCCGTTACAGAGGACAGAGAGGAAGAGGTCTCACCTTGAGAGGTCGAAGGGCAGCGTGATGTCCAGCGGCGTCCCCTTGAAGCTGTGTTTGGGGCCCATCGTAAACTGCGCCACTTGTCCATTAGCGCTCACAGAGACGATCTTCAGGTCCTTGGTGTCCAAAGTCTGCAACAGATAAATCGACACTTTTATTAATGAGGTTCTGATTAATGTCAGTCCTGCTGAGTCAGCGTTCAAGAGGTGAGACGTACCTGCTGATAAACGCTCACCTGTCACTCTCTGCCCTCAGTGTACACACTCCTACTGACAGATCAGTCTTTAAATCAAAGTCCAAAGTAATAAACCCCGATAAGTTCAGTCGGTCTTTAAAGCTCAGCTACATCACACCAAACTCCATTCAAAAAACACTCATTTTTGCATAAACTGTTTATATACATCTAATAAAAATACATAAAATGGTTTTAAACAACTTTATATCAAACATTACGATTAACAGAATTACAACTAAATGATTTCTGTACATTTGGGGATTTTGATTAGAAATAACTTCTGTTCATTAAACAGCAAAGTGAAAGTCAGCTCTGCTCCTGATAAGCATTGATCTCAGGTGAACATACCTGTGCTGTCAGGTTAACCTTTAAGTCAAAGTCCAGGATCACACACAGCTTGTTAAAGTCTTCCTCATAACATAACTATGTCACGCCAAACTCCATTCAAAAATATTGCAATTTAAGGTTTCCACGCTTATAAATATGCATATACGCATACAAAAAAGCTTTTTTTAACCAATAGCTGATGGTCACATAGAAGTGACACATTATAAACAGAACAAAGCCGAATTATAGAGTGGCATCTAAAACAGTAGAAAAACTTCTAATTTAACATTTATGATTCATGAAACAAGAGTTAACCACAAGATTTCTTTAGAATTTGACATTTTGACGAGCAAATTTTGTTTATTAAAGTCCAGACTGGCAAACAAGTTACAGCCCGTGAACCTGTCAGAGGGACATCAGGTGAACACCAGACTTCATAAGAATTTCTGCTGTTTTTAAACCGGACTGCAGTTTATTAAATGACCCCTTCAGGGACCACAAACACGGTGAGAAATCCCGACACTCGTTTCCTCACTGAATAAATGACCCGTTAGCCCCGAGGCTAACTGCACCGGGCTCCGTTAACGTTACCAGAGTGGAGAACCGGTCCTCCAGAACCTCCACGGTGAGCGCGACCCGGCCTCTGATGACGTGCCTGTCGAAGTCCACGTGCAGGGACAGGTTCAGGTGTTTGGTGACGCACCTGGTGAACGAGGAGAAGGAGCACGGGTCTGACATGATGCTGATCTGTCCGGTAACGACGGAGAGACTGAACCGACTGTCTGACTGACAGCCGGGTTAACGACTACCGGAACATGCGCAACACACATCCGGCACCGGGCTTTTCAGAATAAAAGTCAACCTAACAGAAGCTTTTATTTTTTTGTTTGTGATGGTGGATTATTCCATTAATACAAATATTTTATACATTTTTGTATTATTCATTTATAAATGATTATTTCTGTTTGTTTCTTTGTTTCTATATTTAATAAATAATAAAATTTAGTTTTGTTATTTTTAAACATTGTTTATGGTGATAGATTATTCCATTAATCTAACTATTTAATATTTTAACTGTTTTTAATTATTAATCTGTTTGTTTATATATTTCTATATTTGTTTTTTTAATAAATAATAAATAATAAAATTTTGTTTTGTTATTTTACTAATGTATGATTATATATACTATATATACTATTTTTATTTAATTATTAATTATTATTTCTGTTTGTTTATATGTTTGTTATTTTGTTTATGATGATGAATTATTCCATTCATCAAACTATTTAATATTTTAATCAATAATTAATAATGAATAATTAATAATTATTATTTGTGTTTGTTTATATGTTTCTATATTTAATAAATATCAAAATGGAGTTTTGTTATTTTGTTTATGATGACGAATTATTCCATTAATAAAACGATTTCATATTTTATTTAATAATTAATAATTAATAATTAATGATTAATAATTGTGTTTGTTTATATGTTTCTATATTTAATAAATAATAAAATGTAGTTTTGTTTATGATGATGAATTATTCCATTAATCAAACTATTTAATATTTTTTAATTTAATTATTAAATTATTAATTATTATTTATGTTTGTTTATATGTTTACATGTTTCTAATAAATAATATTTAATAAACAATAAACATTTTTATTCGCCGGTGCAGTTCCTCCTTCCTCCAGCAGGGCTCTCCACAGACTCTACATGGGGGACCGGAGGATGAGGGATGGAGGTCGCGGAGCTCTGATCCGGTCGTGATGAACCCGTTTGACGGCTCCGGTTCTCCCCGACATGAGGAGGCAGCGGACCGCGGGGGCAGCCGGTGTCCGTGGGCCCGGTTCTCCTCCTGGCTGGAGTGTGTGTGCGTCGTTACCTTCGACCTGGAGCTCGGACAAGCTATAGAGGTACCGCTGTTAGCTTAGCATCGGTAGCATCATCAGGGCTGTAGATCAATAAAATAGAAATCATCGATCTGATCGGTTGTGACAAACAGCGGGAATCATGCAGAAGAACACCGATATTAATGCACCACATCTGTAGTGCTTTATTGTGTCAGTGTCAGGGTCAACCAAACTCTGTTTAAAAAAACGCACATTTTTATAACTTTCCGTCCTTTTCGAAATGCAGTTTTTCATAATCAATGATTTATATGTCGAGAGGTCGAGGAGAGTCTGCTGTGGAGTTCGGCACCAACCAGTCCACCAAACAACATTTATGAATAAGAAAATTAAAGAAAAGTCTTGCAGCCACTCGTCAGATGGTTGTAGGCATCAAAGGGGAACACGTTAAATTAAATTTGCAGAATTATGAATGGAATTTGGTGCGAGTTCTTTCAATGAATGCTGGTAGCCGAAAGATGCTGCCAGAGTGCATTTATCTTATTATTAGTTATTTACGTGCTTCTTGTACCAAACTCCTTTTTGAAAAACTCACGATATTTAAATGTTTCCTTCCTTTTGGCAGATTCACCATTTATAAAAAATTATCTATTAGATTGAAATAATTGTGTTAGTCTGCTGTTGAGTTCGGCTGCAAACAATCCACCAAACAACAGCTATGAATTAGAAAATAAGAAACATCTTG